CAGATACAAATACCTTTTATAAGACCAAACTCTCTAACCTTAACCTTAACTCTTTTTTCCTAAATGTTAGCTAGGTGGCCTCGTTACCTGATCCTAATTTAATCCCCCTCATCCCCCCAGGAATCAAGGACACTTATTTTCTAGGATTTCCTCCCCCCATCCCCAGAAAGATTCATGAAATTTTCAGCTATCAATGTTCATGTATGATTAAAAGTGTCTATTACTAGTACATATCTGGCAGCAGAGCAACTGCCCACTGTTTGTGTAATAGGATATTAATTAATACCCTTGCTCCACAGGCGGCAAGGCTGGAGATGTAGTCTGTATCCAGCCTGCGGGAGATTAAACTCTTGTCTCCCGTGCTGTAGAGTGTGCCCTAAGCAAGAAGCTACGGCTGAGTCGGAGAGAGGCTGTCCACTTTGCATCCGCCACGGAGATGAAGCCCGGCACTGATATCCCTGGCACAGCACCATGCCCGTAGCAAGTATTAACAATTTAGGGAGCTTTACTTTGTTCTGGCTAGTTTAGAAGGGACAAAATTCAAAAATCCAGTGTAGACTTGAATTTTGGCTTATATCGTGGATAGAGTACTGTTTCTACCTAATACCATTCTTTTTAACGTATGGAGTATAGCAGGTTCTGATACTCTCTGAAATGCTTTATTCGCTGTAGTTGTAATGCCTTTTATCTTTTCCAAGGGCATAAACTAGCTTTTCATCTAATTGTGTCCCAGATTGGAATAGGAAAAACATTGTCTTGGTGACAAACCTGAAAGAGGACTTTAGCATGAAACTGTAATATATATATACACGCACACTGCTCTCTAAGTTGCTGTCAGTGGCTGGTGGAATTATTGGCCATGTTCAGCAGTGGATAGGACAAGAAAAGCTGAAAGCAGAGCCCGTAAGACATCTTGGTTTACTCACTATTCTTTTGCTAGGCTGTTGTGGCCAGGTGACTATGATGTTTTTGACAAATATGATTCCACGTGTAATGAAATGCAAGCACTAACCAGCTTCAGTGGGAATCGACTTAACTTGCCATCAGTTTAACTGAGGGTGGAATAAAGTGCGGTGATTTTGGTCTGCATTTCAGATACAGAAAGGGTGTATGGGTTGGAAGCGCTTATTTTAGTACTATCTTGTTATCTCTTAATTAAAATTAATTACTGAAATATTTTTATACTTGATTTTGTATTAGTAAAGGCTTCATATCCGTTCTTCTTATATTTAATCTCGTCCTATGACTACTAATGTCTTACCTACATAGCAGTTTCTATGCTTTTTCTAATGCACACTTGGTGAAGAAGAAGGTAGATATGTTGTGCTGTTAGGGTTTTTTTGAAACAAACAACAAACAAGCTTTTTTCCTAAGAAAAAAATTATGATTCTACCCTCCCACCCCACCATGCATCTGAAATATTTAATGCATCCACAAATTGATTGCAGTTGGTCCAGCTTCCCCCCCCCCCCCCCCCCTTCCTCTT